GTTGGTCGTCTCCCAAATATTTAAAAATTAATCGGGAGCGTTGGTCCTGTGGCACCTCGTTCGTGTGGAAGCAGAAGCGCCGTAATCAGCTGCGGAAATCGGTCCGTCCATCAAAGGATCGAAAGGAAGATGGGATGGGGTCGGGGACCGTCGTTGACGACGAAGAAGAGGCAGTTGGGTTCGCCGTAGTCGCTGCCACCAATGTAGTATTCGAGCCGCTCAAGGTTATGGTCTTGCCTTCTTCTCCTTTTAGGCGACAATCCGTGCTAGCTTCCTTGATATTCTTATCCGAACGAGTGCGTCCTCGGCGGGAACCCTGGGAATCAGAGGGAATTAAGTCCATCATCTGCAAGGGCAAGCGTGCACGGATAGAATGGATCGACGGTGGATAAAGTTTATTAAAGGGAATATAACAACAGAGGAAATTTAATCTCGTTCCGTCTTCTCCTCGTCCTCCACTTTACGGACGGTCTCTCGACGGGCCCCCTCACACTCTCCGACGGCGGTCACTAAAACAAAACCGTTCTGAACATCAATCACTCAAAATGTACAGGAAGATCATAGCAAGGGCACATTAAAACAACAGGGTCAGTACGTCCTCTGCATGCTGATAAACAAATTGCACTTAATCCAGGTTCCTGGCGAATTTCAATGCGTGAAAAAATATTCCAAAAATGCACAAAGTAATTCTGTACGTACGGTTCCAGTATCAATGTCAGAGACTGTAACTGTGGAATGGTAACCAAGTCAAAATTGTCCCCGTTGGAGCGCAGAATAATTCCGTCGTGCTCAGTTGGGCTCAGTTATTACTGTTATTACTGCAGCATACTGCCTGCCAGACCCGTGCAATAAAGACTGTATCAATTAAAGCAAAACATTTCAATTCCCACGAATTCGGTGATTGGCCGACATCGCGGATACTGCAAAGGAATCAGCATGCACATGAATGCACCACGAACTGACTAAGCAACTTTCTTGCGCAGTCAAGATATAAACGAGGGAATTTTTTGGAACCTTTACGATAAATGAGGATGAAAATGCTCATTAACCGCTTGCAAAAGAGATGATTAAAAATATCTCTGGGGAACCTACGATAGAAGAATAAAAATAAAGTCAAAAATAGCCAGCGAAATCTTAAAATTAAAACAAAAAACTACGCAAAAATGCGAAGTGTTATAGCCGGTTTTTACTAAACTGACTTCCAGGCGGAGAAAACAACTTGGAGTAAGTGGGCGTTCCGGTCGCAGATAGGTAAGTTTATACATTGCCTGTTATGTCATGATTTCGCATTGCTATTCTCTTGAGCCTTAGCGTGATAAAGTTGGGCCATTTTTGTTTTATCGCTACGGCTAAATTGATTAATTCGTCAACTGTAACTGGCCATTGGTCTGAACACATTACAACATTTTCTATAGTCATTATAATGGCCAATTACGTACATAGGGAAATGTATTTGCTTTCTGTGGGTAACCGGTTTTAGTGCTCTTATGTAAGTTTAGGTTGTTGTCCTCAGGTTGGATTTTGTGAGTTACCGACAGCTTGTGAAAGGTGATATGTCCGTTTTTGGCCTTTGTAATTATCAACGCTGAGTCCAAGCGTGGTTCAATTCTCTTGGCTGGGATAGAATGGACGAGATAAGCACTCACGTGACTGTTTGTAAAGTCGAGAAAACTGCTGTTGGACAAATTGATCGTTTGTTTGCTATACATGCTGTAGCTCAAGTTCGTTTCATCACTGTTTTTCGTTTCGGCAATAAGGTGACTAATGGGACATGCCATCCTTCTCGGTTATATTTGTTCAGTTGCTGAAGCTTGTCTATGTCAAAAGTTTTAACTTTACCACTGTGGCAGATTAACATAGTACAAGTATGGCTGTAACGAAGTGCGACAAGTGAAGTGCACCTAATTTCCGTGTCTTAAACCTAGGTGAACCAGAAGTCGATAGGGCTTCAGGACGCAAAGAAGATACAATAACTGCGCTGAGACCTCAGCACATTTATACACCTTAAGTTCATTATGCAAGTCCATCGCATAAGCAAATACCAGAAACCTGCTGGAAATAACATTTTTCAACCCGCACGTGTCGAGGTGAGTAAAAATCAACAGGTTGAAAAAAACCATCGCTTTTTCGATCGTATTTCATAGTTAGAAGCGTCCCATCAGGG